TTTTGCTGGTGAAAAGGAACCAAAAGCACTCTTTCCTGGTTCAGATGATGTGAATCAGCTTGAAAAGATATTTGAATGGTGTGGTACTCCTTCAACGGAAGAATGGGCTGAGGTTGAAAATCTTGCTCATTGGAATGCTCTTAAACCAAAAGAATCAAAGAAGAGAAGACTCTTGGAAAGATTTGCAAACTTGAAATCATGCTCAAAGAAGGTTCTAGATTTACTTGATAAGCTTCTTGTGCTTAATCCTGCCAAACGATTAACAACCAATGAATGCTTAAATCACGACTGGTTCTGGGAAAAGGGTTCCACAACCAATATCAAACTCAAAAATCTTCCTTCAACAGCTACTAATGAATTCCTTACAAGAAAGAAGGGTGATAACAAACCAAATGCACCTTCACATCAATTACCAGGTTCTACCAGTGTCCAACAGTTGCCACACAATATTAATCAGAGCTATGGTGTTTCATCTACATCATCCTCTCATCCACCATTTGGTAGTAGTAATGGTAACAGACATTCCTATAATCCCTCTCACCATCATCAATCGTCACACCATAGCAGTCATCATTCGAACACTAGCTCCTCTCACCATAATGGTAGCTCACATCATAATAGTCACCACCATCACCAATCATCACATCACCACTCTAGTAGCTCACATCATGGCTCAACTGGTTCAGGTCATTCCAATAATTATCATCGTGACAATAGGCATCACCATGATCCTCCTCAAAGAAATAACCAATTAGCACCTCCAAATAAGAAGGTTAAATATTAATAAATGAGTTATTTAAAGGAAAAAAATGGCACAGACTTTTTTATGAATTATAATAATGCAATAATGATTTGTGTTTAATATTATTTTGCATGACGATAATGATTTATTATTCAATGTGAATGAAGGACATTGTGGAAAATGGATCACCAAAAGGACATCCCAATTGTTGGTTTTGATTTATCGGAACTCTTTTTCTCTCTCCATTCCAAATCATTAAATTGCTTGCAATTTCTATTGTCTTGGATTGCATATTTAGAGGAGCCCAGGATAATATTTCAAGTTGTGGGTCATGTTGGTGGTTGTGATTAAAGTTATTTGGTTTGTACAGGAGGGCTGATTTGTACTTAATCCAGAAAGCTCTATCAAACGCCTTTAGTAATTCATAGGTTTGTGGATTGGTACGTGGAAAGATTGGATCTTTGGTGAGCAACAAATTTACAAACAAATCCAATTGTTCATGGGTGTTGAAAGTAATGCAATAATTTTGAATTTCAATGAATGCCATTGGATTAGTTTCAACTTCTCGTGGACACCTTCACTCTTACTTCTTTTCCTTGATGTCTGCTGCACTGCTTCTGTAGTCAGCATATTATCTGGGACTGAGTGAACAGATTTAACCTCACTGCTGAGAGGGTTTTTTGGAGTGAGCATTTCCTTGATATTATTAAAGGAATTATTCTCCAAACCAAACTTTTG